GCCTACACCACGATGACGACGGAGGATACCGAGTAACCGATCATTGGTGATTGTATTTGAGTTCGAGCCTGCTTACAATGGTCAGCCAGAAGGCATGTTTGCAGGACAATTTCACAATGAGGACACAAAAGTTCATGCTTGATCAGAAGTCGAAGGCGTGGGCCACTACCGTTGGCTTTAAGGGCCAATAAACCACTTACCTCATGAACAACAGTTGGAGTTCATAGCAGACGTTATGTGACAGATCTTCATTTTCTTGCGTTGATACTGATTAACAACAACATTGCTTCTCAGAGACCTCGAAGCTAAAGGAGTGGGTGATATTAGGGACATAGTCCTTAGAACCTTCTAGAGACAAGTTTCTAGAACTTTCTAGAAGCAAGTCTCTGGAACCTTCTAGAAGCTTCCTAGTTGATGGAAATTGCTTGAGAAGCTTTCTAGTTGGTAGAAGATGTTAGGGACATAGTCCTTAGAACCTTCTAGAGACAAGTTTCTAGAACCTTCTAGAAGCAAGTCTCTAGAACCTTCTAGAAGCTTCTTAGTTGATAGAAGTTACTTGAAAAGCTTCCTAAATAGGAGTATATATTGGAATCGAGGCTGAAGAGTTCTTCAGTCTCAACAACACATCTCTTGGAGTTCTAGTTCACCTCTTTGGTATTGTTCTTGTATTCATCTGATTAATCTAGTTCTTGTCAGTTCTTCTTAAACTTCTTGTTAGATCTCGAGTTTGTATTTCTGTGTCCGTGACACAAACACTTGTTTTTATATCAAAGCCACTCTTTGCATCTTATTTACTAATTACATAGCATATATTTATAAAATGATTATAGTTTTTTTTAAATAAACTCAATACTCTTAAGTAGAAAAATAAAATAAAATAAAATGTCCATAATATGAAATTGATGGAAGCACATCATGAGTTTATTTCATACCATGTAAATATTATGGCAGTTTATGTGGGACAATTAAGACTTAAAAACGTAAAAGCACTAAGTAAATAATGATAGAACTTCACCATGAGATGATCACCATCATCAATAAAAAAAAATTCTCAATTAATGTTCTTACTAATAACTCTTATTGCAATATGAAAAAGATGAGTGCAATTAGGATGTTATGCATAAGTTCATCACCAAATCCTATAAATCTATCTACTCACACTTTAAACACATTCAATTGTTCTTAAAATAAAAAAAAATATTATATACTTATCTGCACTATTTGGTTATAAATGCATCTAATCTTTTAATCAATTAAGTTGGTATCCAATAATTTACATCTAAAACTATAATACTAGAACAAAGTACTATTGTACATTCTTGTATTAGAATAATAAGAAATAATAGTAAAGTTTAAAAAAAGAAACCATACAAAATATATTGATAGTAGTATTTTTATTTAGAATAAACCTACTCTAGCAAATAGTCTATAATTTAATAAGAGAAGTATAAACCTACCAAAGATAATTTTTTCCTTCTCTTCAATCTAATTGTAATATTATTCTATTTAAAAAAATATTAAGAATATTCTTGCTTAATAATTTATTATGTATAATAGGCATATAAGCTTACAAAGGTGTATACAAGATTTTCTTTGTTTTAATAAGATTTTAAAGTACAAAATCCTTAAGAATAGATTTCTTTATTGTTTTTTCTACAAGCCATCATGACTTGGAATAGAAGACATAGAAGTATCTACCTTGTCATTTCTAAGTATTAAAAGATCAATTGATGCTTTGTCATACAAAAAATCTCTCACAAGTATTGCCAACTAAATTATGCTACATCTATTAAAATAACAAAATCTTACTATCTAAAACTAATAAAATATATTTTAATTTTGATTAATATGTATTTAGAAATTCTCTATATTATTTCAAACTTAGTATTATTAATTCCAAGTAAATAAATTGTTGTAGAAATGATTTTTTTTTAATGTTGTGATTTAGCAAATTAATGTCACAATAAAAGTTGGACTCATATATCATGTTATCATGCACCAATGCTAGAACTTGAAGTTGAATCAATATCAATCATATTCATTGTTTGTTCTAAAATTTGAGTGCAATAAATATAAACAATTATTTGTGACAATTTTATTTAGATGTAAACTTTTTAATTAATAAGTTATATATGTAGTATTGCAATGTTTCAACAAAGTCACATACTATTGACTTATTCATATTAACTTACATGAATCAATTTTTTAATCTCAACAATACAAAATTGACAAGTATTGCAATTATTGGAGTCAACCATAAAGTTAAGCATGAGCAATAATAATAGATTCAGAGATGACTCCTAGAGCACTGAAAGCTACAAGACTATTCTTAATTTATAATCACTATATACAAACTTTGCAAGAACGCCACTACATAAAATAAATTTATTAAATAAAATTTTGTATATTAGAGTAGATTGTACCTTCTACCCCAAGCTTTAAAAAATACTTTTTAATGATTGCAAGAGATATTATTTATGTACTCAAATAAAAAAATTATACAAGTTTAATATTTTTTTCTTAAAACTTTAATTTAGCAAAACATCTAAAATAAATGATTAGATGTATTATAAATAAATATCTTTTATTTGTAATCTAGGATGAAAAAGAGTGGAAAATATTTATGTAACAACTTTGCAATAATGCATATTTACAGATTTTATACTAAAAAAGTAAGATCTTCAAACATCAAAGATAAAAAAACATACTTGATTCTACTCAATCATCCAATTTACAATTATAACTTTATAAAATGTTCCAAAAATATTTAGTAAAAATTTAGTAGTTAATATTGGACATGCTTTAATTCAACAAACCTATGAATGAAACTTACTAATGCCAAAATAACATTTTATAATTTAATTTTTAAAATTTTATTGTAATGCCTAGCTTTTAGATTTCTAAAGAAGCAGCAATAGAGAAATAAGTTATGGAACATCATTGACATGCATAAAGTTTATTTTTTTAATAAGATTTATATTGTCATTTCTAAGGATTAAATATCGAAAAGCATATACATGTATGAAGAGAAAAGCATCTAAATTAGGGAAGAAGAAGAGAAAAGAAGTGGTAGCTAGAACAATCGTTTCTTTTTATTTATTAAAAAAAGATAAATACAATGATATAGCCTTGTTTTACTATCAAACTAGCCAATATAATGCAAGTTAAATCTTTATCCTTTAAATAATATGAAATTTATCAAATTCTTTACTATATTCAAAACAACTATGGTCTTTAATGTAAAAGATGACTTTGGCATTGTTTAGCACTAGCCAATATGACATCTTATTCTTTTGTTGTATCTAATAACCAATAAGTGGTCTTCTTACATAAATGTGTTCTATCTCAACTAAAACTATCAAATAATTTTAAAATTCCAAATTATCCTTAGATAGATAATAATAAGAAAAAGCTAAAGTGTCTTCACACAACCTCTATATTTCAAGAGTTTCAAAAGAACCTAGATTGATACCCAATATTTATTTGTTTGTTTTGCAACAGAAGAATAAGATCACCAAACTTAAGAATTGATCAAAATCTTATGTAGTGACAATAATCAAGCATTGATTTATTCATACTTAGAAAATTGTTGTATTTTGCTTAAAGACACTACATAAAGCTTATAAATGTTAAGATTACATTGATAAGAAAGGATGCATATTAAAATAAAAAAATAAAATTAGAGTGCTATGAAAATAATCTTTTATCTCCATTTGCAAATCAATGTGTAGAATAAAGTGCTCAATGGGCAAAGCATGGCTATAGATCTTTCCATGCAATTACCAATCATATTTGAACAATGTCTTCTTGTATAATCAATGGTTGGAAATGGTTGGTGCCAATACAATGGACCAAATGATAAATTAAGATAAAGTATCTAAAGATATTGATATGACATCTACATGTATCTTTTGTTGGGAATGGATTTGAATATCATCTCTATAATAATCTTACCTTTTTGAATGAAGTTTGAGATATTTTAAATATAACTTAAGTATTATTAATGTATATTTTTATTATTAATATCTACTAATAGCAACCTTAATGTATATCAAGTATCTTGAAATAAGTTTTTAGTTACTTATTTTTTAAACTATATATATATATATATATATATATATATATATATATATATATAACTTTTTCAATTGATATATTGCATTATATTTTATAAAAAATATATATAATAAAAATACAAAAGATCTATAAAACCTTTATAGTTTTAATAAAGTATTATCTTCATTACAATATAATGGCTTAAAAAAACTATTTTAATAAGATTGGATAGAAAATTTCTAAAGATTTTATTCTATTTATAAACAGCCTTTAAGTTCAACTTGTTTTATAATAATAAAAATTATTTTTCATAATAATAAAACTAACATGAATTATATCTATGTATGAGGTAGTTATTAACCAATCTTTTTGTGGGTGAAAAAGACTAACATTACTTCAGCAAACAATGTTCAAGTAACATAAATGCAAGGTTTTTTTGGTAATGAATTTTGTATTATTTCTTGTGATAACAACTCAAACATATCTATAATTTTCGTTCATAACTCCACTATATAATTTATTATTACTACTAAAAAATATATATTCATACTATGCAAACTTTTAAAGATAAGAATAAAAGCATTAACTTTTATATTCATTTATGCACACAAAAAATTCAAAGTAGGAGAACATTAGAAACAGTTTTATTTGAAAAATAGGTAGCTTAGTATATACCATAATTTTCTTTCTGATCTCAATATGTTGTAACTAATCAACACATAAAGAAAACGAGAAAAGAGTGGTTCCAAAAAGCAAAAGGCAGATGAGACCCAGGGGGGCATGAAAAGAGCGCACCAAGGGGTACCCATGACCACGCGCATGCAACATGTGGTGATGGGTAGTGTGAGCTGGCGACTAGGCAGGTGGCTAGTAGGTAGACAACCTGGAGGGTGGGTAGCAAAGACAGAGAGAGAGTAAGAGGAGGGAGGTCGCAAATCAGTCAGACCAGCAGGGCGACTTTCTCCGTTCGGCTACACCGAGAGAGAGAGCCGCTCTCTTTTTTTGTATCCGTGATCGATGTTGGTGTCGTCTGGTCTCACGGCATCACCCCGCATTCCGCTCTGGGGATGTTTTGAGATCGCTACCTGCGGATTCCGGGTTTGATGTGAGCCAAGGAGCGCTGGATTTGACCCCAATTCGAGTGCGGGAAGGGGCGGGGCGCAATGGAGTCAGGGTTTGGTCTGTATCTGGCGATGCCGGTTGGCACTGTGACGGGCATTGCGGATTGGTGGCGTCGGGTGGACTCGTCCGTGCTCTGGCAGGAGCGCATCTGGCTGGGACTGGCGATTGCGTACGCTGTGATCGCCGTGATCGCGCTGGTACCTGCGGATTTTTTGGGGTACCCTAAATTGATGATCTGACATGGGAGGGGGAGTGAGAACGCGTTGATTGATCGATTGATTGCTCTCTTGCTTTCTTGATGGATTGATTGATTGATTGATTGATTGATTGACGGACAGATAGATGTCGGGTTATAGTTCTTGGGTGTAGAGAATTGGTGAAGGGTGCAATTGAGCAGTTATGAACCACTTAACTTTTTCAGTCGAATTATGTTACAGTTGGTTAATCGATGAACAGTCTGGGTTGAAGGTTACGTGAGCCAACTTATAAATTCCTATCGTAGCAGTTTCGCTCCAATTTTCGTGCCGTCTTCATGTCACGGGATAATAGTTAGCATGTCATCGAGTTGTTCTGTGGGAATTGGCCGAATCTTATGCTTTTAGAACTGGTTGTGGCCCTTCTCCTCGACGAAATTTGAGTTCGATTATCGCGGATTGAAATATGTAATATTGAATCATGGAGTTGTACGTCAATACAGCAAGCCCAGAATGAGGGGTGCGACTACTTTGTTTTCTTTCTGCTTTCGAACTTTCTAGTGCAAAGCTCCGATTACATGCACTGCTTTCCTGAGTTTCTGAATAAGAGCTTTGAAAATCGAAAGTTTTGCAAATTGATACGTGAAATTAGGGATCCAGCTCTGTACAGCATGCACTGACATATTTACTGTAACAACCGTAGCTTGCAAGTTCCCATCAGCAATGCCATACTATAGCAGAATGTCCAACTCAAAACGTGCAACGTTTGTACAAATCGACTGCATGGTTCTGGGGTTTTACTTCGAAATAATTCTACAATGCCGTCTATATGTTATTGTTGAATGTCCCTTGTCATTCAGTGAACCTCTGCTTTCGTCTTGTTTGCCATGAAGATTCTCGTGCCGACATGATAGCAATGTGTACTGTATGAGCGAGGCATTGAAGATTTTTCAATACAGAACCTCTATATTGTGTTCTTCGGTGCATACATGTACATCAAGTGTGTTTGGAATGTGTAGGTGCAACTGATACGGATAAGGTTTCGCGCTCCAGAGTATGGTTGGACTACACAGAAAGTCTTCCATCTCTTGAATTTCATCGTTAATGGAGGTGCGTACTGTGCGAATCTTTTTCCAGCCTTATATGGGATGTCCCTACATCTATATGTGCTGATCATTTCGATCAATTTCTGGTGTATTGCAGTGCGCGCCGCAGTTTTTTGCTTCCGTGAGGATGTGCAGGCATTATCTCCTGAGGTATGTCACATGGGGAATTTGATTACAATGTCGGAATTCCTCTAAAGATTGTCATGGGTGTGGATATTGTGATGATAGGTAACTATGGTGCATCGATCAATTGGGGCTGTGTTGTGAAAGTCAGCTGACGTATGTGTTCAAACTATATCTTTAATTCCACCCTCCGCTCACTCACCGATTGGTGTGCGATCTCATCTGGATGCAGATATTGCAACACGTTCTTTTGGATCTGCCGGGCATAATTTTCTTCACAACATATACTCTTCTGGTGCTTTTCTGGGCTGAAATCTATCACCAGGTAAGGTTGGGAGTGGCTCTCTTCATTCAACTGGTAGCTATGCTGCTAAGTTCTCACAAATGGCTGAAATGTTCTGAATTCTATGGAGTTGAGTGCACCCATGTAACAGACGACATGCGAGATTTATTGTGCGGATTTTTCTGTGATTTCAGGCTCGAAGCCTCCCAACCGACAGACTTCGACCGATGTTTCTCATCATAAATGCCGCAATCTATTTGAGTCAGGTCTGTGCCTGTGCTAGACAGAGTCATTTGATTTAATTGCAGGGGGAATCCATCCTACCGGAGATCGAGTGCTTTTAACGCGCAGATTGAGTTTGGACCGTTTGGATTGATGTTGATCTGTTCTATGGTCATATCTTCCAGAGTTATTTATGATGGATTGCATTGGTTGAATTGTAAAGGTTTTCATCTGGGGCTACTTGTGGTATACTCCAAGCTCTCTTATGCTGACTGTGGCAAAGATTTTCTTTGCAGGTAGGGCATGATCTTGCAGTCTTTTACTCACTATCTTTTCTGTGGTGCTCCCTCATGAAATATGCAGTTTTTAGGTGTTTTCCAAATCATCTTGATCACATCAGCCTTTGATGGAGTAGGTGTTTGTATTGTTTGCAGTTGTTTCGCTTGTGGCCGCGCTGGGATTCATAATATATGGTGGAAGGTAAGCTCTGTTCTGGGTGTTAGCAGTCTCGTCAGATATGTTTCTTGGGGGCCACCTGCATTGGCTTGATGTAAAATTGTATCTTTTTATTTTTTGTAGCATTCGCCAACTGGAGCTGTTGTGTGGGGACCGCTGATCATATTAAGCCCATGGTATGTTTATTCATCGATGTGTGCATGTGTTGATGTGGTACCAGGCTGTTCCTCATGTTGAGGCGGTTCCCTATCGAATCGAAGGGCCGCCGAAAGAAACTTCGCGAGGTTGGGTGTGTGACGGCTATTTGTTTCATATGCTTCACCATCAGATCTTTCATCGTAAGTGGCTGTGTGCAGAATGCACAGGGTTTGCAGAGGGTCGTAGTTGTTGCTTCACTTGGGGTGGTGTGGTTGCATGTGTGTGTAGAGCGATACGATGACGCGATGGCAATGTGTGTGCGAAAGGTGGGGGGTTGTGGAGCATTGTGGTTTGGTGGGTGTTGGACTGATGCGTGGGTGGATGCGACAGATGGCGTTCTCGGTATTCAACAAAGCAATGGATTTGGACGTTCTGTACCATCCAATCTTGAACGGCATATACTACACGGTAAGAGATGTGGGCAGTTTGGAGTGGAGAGTTGTGGGGGTGGTGCGTGTGGGTTTGTGGGGTTGGGGACGACGATGACGCTGAGACGGTGTTTGTGGTGTGGTGTGTGGTGGGTGGTGTGTGCGTGCAGGTTGTGGAGATCATTCCATCAGCTCTTGTTCTGTTTATTTTGCGGAAGTTGCCACCGAAGCGGCCGCCTGGGCAGTACCATCCGATCCGGTGAAGAAGGGCGGTGGTGTGAAGGAGGTGGTGTAAAAAGGTGTGGCAATGCGACTCCTGTTCACGAGCGGCACATCGGCCGAAGGACTCGATGGTCCAGGTTGGTGTCGTGTTAAGGATGGTGAGAGGAAAGAGGCGTGGAGGGTACATTCGAAGCAGTAGTGGTCGAAAGCTTGCTACAAGGGTGTGGGTACGAGGGACGGCGTGGGTGCCGTGGGTGTAGGGATGTAATGGAGATGGGCATTGATAGGACGGAGGTACAAGTATAGTGCGGAGTGAGTAGTGTTTGGAGGGTGTGAAATTATGGACTCGAGTGCTCTTTGAAACTGTGTTCACTTTGTTAACACGACATGAAGGCTTGATAGAACAGGTTGTAACGTGGTAATTTGTGATATTCTGTTGATTGAAGCTGGAACTTTGTCCAGATGTTTTTTTGCTTTGGTGAGAACCTAAGCTTAAATTTGTCAAATTTGTCAGAGTTTGTTGGTTCAGCAGCTTTAGTCGGTTTTTTATACCGTTGTCAATTGAATTTGTTGTGGTGTATTATTATGGTATTCGTCAGTGTTTTTGTGTCTTCGCTACATTTTTCAGGAATGAGTGACGCACATAACTGTCCAGTTTCGTTGTCTTTTTTTGCATTTATTCACGCACAACAAGCTGAATGGGACGCTAAACTCGCTTTCTTAGAATTGCCTACCCCATACTCGACCCATGAACAACCCTAAACTCGGTACAAGGATGAAAACCGTGGACGATGGGGTATTGTGGGTTATCATGGAGCATGGAGTTCAGTGTCCAGAACGTTTAGTCAGGTCTTGAACTCGGAGGCAGCAGGCCAAGGGTAAAATGTTTTTTAAATTAAATATTTAGATCTTTTTTTAGATAATTGAATGGCGGTTTCTGGATACAAACTCGGAGAGTTTGGCTATCAGTTGTACCAGGTTTTAGGGTTATGTAAAATAAAAGCTTCAATTATCAATATTTTCCACCTACTATTGCCAAACAGTTCGGTTCTCCATTTCAAGCCAAAAAAGAGACCATGAAGGGATTACATCTTTGTTTTTCTTTACTATTACTCTAACAAAATTAATATGCACAACTTGTGTACACTTGCTTCATCCCTATGTCTTTCATTCAGGACAAACATAGTCAAGCCCATTGGATGATGAGAAAACTTCATTCTCTGATCATCCTTAGGAATATGCAACATAAGATGGTCAATGACCACAAACACTGAAATAGTGGACCATATGAGTACACAAATAAAGGACATCTTACTCAGCCTCATGAATTGTGATAAAGATTGTTAATTACATTTTCGGTGTCTTTGTCTTGCAAACATGACCACTGAAACCTCATTACTCATCGTTGAGGTGCCGGAGAAGCAAGATGTCTTTAAGACAGTAGCAACGATTTATGATGAGAATTGAGATAAATAATTGATTTTTACATATGTAACGATGTCATGACTAATGACATCCAAGGGATTCCAGGAAAGATAAGAAAATTTGTGTTCAATATATAATGAGCTTGAACATAGTTGACCTGTTATCATCACGGGCAGAAGCTAGATGCGGGCAATAACTTAAGGGTGCGTATTTTGGTGTGCCAAGCCTCTCCTGAATAAGAAATAGAAGTTCTGTATATCGAGACTGCTTCTTATGAAGTACCTTCAGAAAAGCATGCAATGCCAGCCACGTCATTTCATCCTTTGTCATGCCAAGGTGCGCACTAGCTCCCATTTCTTGCATTTGTTTTCTCAGCAGCCCATGCATGTAGCTGCAATATTCCCAAAACGCTTCACTATTTAAGGCAAAAGATCATGATAGTTGCTAGTGAAAATCATTTTACGAACCTCAAGCAAATGCACAACGAATTGCATTCAAAGGTTGACCTTTGAATTTACCTTGAAGTCACTTCGATCGCCTGTAGAAGAAATGGAGAATGGTGACAACAAGTACGTTCCATGCTGCAAAGGTAAGCATGAAATTTCATGGCACACAGAAGAAAAGCCTGATACGCATTGAGGCGGACTGTTGAAGGCGAGTTGATTCTAAGATCATAGAGTATAGGATGGCTCTTAGCACGCACAAAATGGCACAGCTTGATTGGCACTTGAGCTCCTGGGTTTTTCTTTCGAACTACTGTAATCGTACCCTTTATGGGCTCTCCAATATACCTACACAGAACCGAAAAGTTGTCCCAGTGACTCCCGTATACCGTACATCACAATGCAAGAATAGTGCGGCGATTGAATGAAGCGGAAGTTAGCGGGCAGATATTTATAAGCACCTTCCAATACTTTTCAGTAAGAAAGACATTCTGGTTTATCACAATCTGTTAAAAGTCTATCCTGGTTTTAATTAAAACTATCATCACACTGTAAAATGTGGATAGAAGAGCACCTGGTGTAATCGGCTTGGACTTCTAATGTACAGCAGTTGATTAGCAGGCCACCCCAGCGCATAAATCTGGCTCCATCGCTGGTCATATATACGCCGAGGGCTATTTTTTCCTGATTCTTGTTTAAAAGCAAGTCGAAACTTACAGCTGTCTTTTGTCGGTTAGCATAGCACCCATACTCTTCAAAACCGTCATGCATGAGTTGCACAAATCTTGCCACAGAACTTTGCGAAGTTGAGATGAAGAGGGAATCATCAATCAATCGCAAGAGTATAGTTTCACCATTTTCTATGACTTTTGGAACCTCCAGTAAGTCTGATGGTAACCTCGCCGAAGAAATTTCTACTTCATTTTCACCCTCTTGTTGACTCCTGAAATCATTTCTATAGACCGAAGCAGGCTGCTGCAGAAGTGGCATCAGGACGTGCTCATCCAGGTGCCCAAAGAATATTGAACACAAAAGTGGAGAAAGCACACTGCCCTGAGCAATACCTGTTTTCTGCAAATAAAAGTGAGGCCCAATCTTCACTATATTCCTCTTAACATGTTCCTCAATAAGCCCCAGGATCTGACTTTGTTTCAACCGTGTGACCATACCCTGTTTGCCAAACCGGAAATCCATTTGGGTCAATTGATTGCTCAGTCTTGGAGATCAATGAACTAAGATATTAGTCACACCGGTACCCTATTCCAATACAGCTTGTGATACACACTCGAGGAAAGATCTCATTGCACCCCACGGAAGTCAACCCTTGTAATCTGAACTAAATGAGTACAAATGCAGGAAAATTAATGCACGGATAATTCAAAGAGCATGACCAAACCTGATCCTGAAGAATGGAATGTGAACGCCTGGCAGCAAGTTCCATAAATAACTTCAAAATATCATGTTGCTGATCTGAGGTTGTACATATCTGTTTGTAGGAGGCTCTGGTACTACCCATAAAGTTGAAGATAGTAGCATAACGTCGAATATGATACACGGGAAGCCGAAGAAATCCAGATACCACCTCACACAGTTTATCTTGCTTAATTGTATCATAAGCTCTAGAAATATCGCAGACTGCCATGTACATCTGCGGTAAGCCTCCCGGCAAGCTCTTCAAATGACTGATATATGGTAGAAGCTTGCTATACGCATCTTTGTAACCAAATACTGAGGCACCCAAATCTTCTAAATGAGTCTCTTGTTCGTACTTCAGGCACGTGTGCACGCCTTTTAGTCGTGAATTAATAGACTTGAACGCAAAACTGACTTGTTTCAAGATGTTCCTTCGGGTTGCTGATCGAAATTTAACTAAATAATCCACTGAATCAATCAAATCAGTCCTGCGTCGCTTTCCGCACAAAGCGGAACTTTCAATATCCTTTGGGGCTCCTGTTATCAGAGGCAGTGCGCATCTTGTCCTGCTGCTTAAGTTGGCAATGGGGCGTACGCCATTATGCTTGGGCAGCATTCGAACGTGCGAGAAACCCAGAACTCGCTTCTGTAGGACTGCAGCAACTGTGGTTGGATCTAATTTACGGTAACACTTGACAACCAGATGATTCAGAGACAGCATCTGAATTTTAGCCCACACGGGTTTCCGATAGTATAGCACATTCTGTCTGTGATTCTCAGCCTCCGTGATGTAAAAATGACTACGCAGAAGTGGAATTATCATCTCAGTGAACAACCAATGCAACCAGTCTTGCAACATTGTCTGCGGAAGGTCCCATGCGTACGATGGACAGCCTGGACTCTCTGCCTTCATTTGCAAGGCATGAGTGTCGGAGTCCTTGAGAGAAATTTTCCGAGTTCTTCGACCATTTTCACTAAAGCAAGGCCATGCAGTGTTAAAACTTTGGAGTTCATTTAGAAAGTGCTGGATATGAAAATTTTCATGCCGGCGCAGGCTCACGAAGCTAGCAATGCCACTGCAGAGTTTCCTCCGGAAGCGGTTACAGCCAAGGAACGACTCAGGGAGGAGACTGCGGCATACAGCCCACAAAAAGTTGACAACTTCGCTGTGAGTTGAGGAAAGGGTTACAAGCTTTCCCAGATCTGCTATTCGCCCTGTAGCTTTATCTTTCTCATGAGGTATCCCTTCATTCACAACAGGTTTTCGACAGTATTCGGGATGCATAATCTCCCCAAGATATGGACCACCTATAGGGCCATTACTCAGAGGCCTGGACGATCTCGTCAGGTTGCAGTTCTTCTTCGAGCTGCCAAGGGAGTTAATAAGTAGATAATCGTCATCCTTCTCTTGTGTGAAATATCTCTCCATTAACAAATTTAAACCCTTAACATTGGACTTCATCTGTCAAGAAAAGATACAATGACGACTTTTAGTACCATTCCACTAATTTTGAACGTGCAAGTAGAAAGATTGACCTTAACACTTTACATATATATATATATATATATATATATAAATATATATATATATGTTAAGCATTCCAAGGTTATTAATCCCTTCAAGCTGTAGTGAGACGTTAAAGCTCCATCACATTCGAGACTTGTGAAGCGCATGTTGTAGTGGAAAGTTGAGCTTACATCTGATCAATACATAGTACAGAATGCCAAGCAAAATACAATCAAAAGGGAACAAATGAAAAAAGAGGGAATAGATAAATGCACTTGTTTCTTATCCTGCAACCGAGGAGTCTTGACCTTAGGAAGAGAAAGTGCCGAGTAAGATGGAAGAGGACAATGCTTGCTCAATAAACGTGCATAATTACAATGCTTTGCACTTTGGACCATTTTTCTCAGCAATCCTTTCACATTTCTGCATAATTCTCAGCAAAACAATTCATAAGACAGTAAAGAGGAGATCAAAAACTAAGGCCAAAATAATTGTAAAAATCACTATCACAACTACAGATCACTGGGCGTAGCCTTCCGGTCCTACAAACTAAGAAAACACCAAATATGAAAAGCTAGGCTAGGTCTCACTCACTTGATTAAATTATCCTTGGTGACGTTGCCTGCTGTTAATAACGACCCCCTTTCAGAGGCTGTAGCTGCAATGTCCAGAGCTGGAAAAACAGAACCAAGGACCCGAGAGATATCTGCCTCGTTGGTGCTGGATGTGTTCAAAATATCTGTATTTTAGTGAAGGTGTCCAAATGTGATTTCTATCAACGATATGCGACATATGTACAGCAGAGAAGATCTCGATGAGCAAAACAAAAGAGCACCAACGCGCAATCTACTTAGGCTATGACATTTAAGGCATACTGAGGTATCCAATTTTAAACTAGACAGATAACAGAGTAGCGCCTTGCAAAGGAATTTTATGAGAACATCTACAAAACGTATCAAAACAAGTTGTCATCAGTTTATGCTCGCTGCAGATATGCTGAGATAGTGAAAGATACGATTGGCAGGGAGGCCTGCATGACAAGAAAATGAGGAGTGGTAAAAAATTGCAGATCGATCAATTATTCTGGGCGGGAAACCAACCCTATGTACTGGCTTTGGTAACTCCACCTTGTCAACTGTGCAGTGGCTGAATATGACTGGGTCTACATCATCCAGACCCTCAGCTAAACCCTCACGTCTTTGGCATACAAAATGAGTTCCTGCTGAAACAAGATAAGAGTTGTTAATGTGCTATGTGATTGCAAAAACAGGGCATGCATTTAATCCAAGACTTGCCAAGAGCAGAAAATCGTGATGTTTCCACACCATGTACAATATATAATATATGCTTGCATATGTGTGTGTGTGTGTATATATGTGTGTGTAAATTTAGAAACTAACACAAGAAAACATATGGTTTCTACCTAGATTCCTATTTCCGCTAGTACCACGATGATCGCTCAACTTCGTCACGGTAGAAGAGCATGAGGTTATGGGCGTACTCTGTCTTCTCCACTGCTTGCGACGCACCCAGCTTGAAGGCCTCGCCCGCTTTCTAGACAATGTCATGTCTTCAGGAACTTCGTTAGCATCCTGCAGCCTCAGTAACTGTTCTATTAAATTTTTACTTTCAAGAAAGTAACAGTGGCATAGAATCTAAAAGTGAGTTCAGCCAATGGATTGACAACAATCCAAACTATGATTTTAAAAACAATACTCGGTTTATGTGAGAAAAGAACAATAAGAACTGGTCAATTGAACAAGGTTATACTTCAAAAGGACCAAGATAACAAACAGGAAACGCCCAGCCTAATTGGCGATTTCTGGATAGTGCATTTTGTACAAATGTTAGCTACATGAAATGTCTGTCCGAAGGAATCATGTTCGAAATTCGACCAACTTTGGGACGTGAGAGTACCTTCAGCAAAAATATCCTAGCATAGATACAAATGTCAAATCCAAGTCCAATAAAGCTCGTTTTACAAGCTATCAATTGTATCACAAGCTAAGTTGAACACAGATAGCTCTCTATAAAAATCTGAGGTTGACATATACATAGAAATGATTGGTCATTAAGTGGAGACATTGACACTTTCTCACACCATGCGTCTTTTTACCTTTTCAGTTCTGTAATAGGAGTTTCTCTGTTCAATATTTGGAGCCTTCTGCTGCAGAACCGTCGAAAGCTCGCCATGACTTGTTGTTCTGATCGAAATGGATTGTGGAAGCTGCTTCATGATTGAAGCAGTCATGTTAAATGCATGACCTGCCACTTGTAGCAAACAATAATTTGGTAGCGGCACAAAAATAGCCGCATTTGACAGTAGGTAAAGCATTCTCTCCTCTCCAATCTGTGCAAGGATATACACACGGTTGTGATGGTTAGAACTCCGGATAGACTTGCCTCAGGGCCCCGGTGTATTCAATTGAAGGTCACTCATATTTAGTAGCAGCCAATCTTCCCAACAAAAGAATAACAACTACTTTTAATTTGATTCCATCAAATCCTCTATACTGAGATGTTAGTAGCTAAAGAACTGTTCATGACCATCACATCTACAAGTGCTCAATCTGGAAGACTGATATGTGGAAAATTGAGCATACATATCGGAAGCAATCAAGAAACTCGCTTACCCGTGCAAGCAGGGTAACCCACAAATGGGTACTAATAAAAGCTGTGGCTACATTGTAGTGATGATGTTCTAACCCTTTAAAAGCTGGAATTAGTTCTTTTGATCCTGCTGACTGAACCTGCGCAATCAATGATTCAGATCGAAAGTCAAATTTCACTCTCCCACGTTCTTCGATGCACAATACACTTGCAAAGGATCTCATAACAAGGTGTAAGACACGTTAGTACAAAACGATCTAGGAATCATGAACGTAATATAACTCAAACTTCAATATAAAAAACTTGTAGCACTTAAAATTAAGGATTGCATTAAGAGGTAGAAATTACTGGCCTGTCCATAGCCAAAACAAAGAACATTCGAGGAGGCTCCCTCTCGTAAGTGCAGCTGAATAGATCTTTCCACAACCTGTAGAATTTTTGCACCTCCTCAGTCTGGTGAACAGAATTAAAAGTTTCACCAATTGTCTATTTCATAATCCAAAGTAGCGAGCACTTGAGAGCAAAGACAACTGGGCGTGAGTGAGTCAAACGTTCAGAATGAATACGACAATCGCTCCATGCTAGAAGCAAAGGACATCCTTAGGTTACATATAAAGCATGTCCATTGTGGGGCAACCTTACTCTCCTATTTTCAAAATGCTGCTGTAGTCGAATTCTGCTTTAAAGATTTGTCACAAGAGAGCTCTACAAGCGTTTCCAATTTTAATTATCTTGCCAAGCTGAACAACACATTTCAGTTAATACCCGACTGTAGAGATGTGAAGGATCCCTCCCTCAAAAACAATATACATATAATCCGCCAGTGATTGATGATGAATGCTTGCCTGCTGCTGGCTCCATCGCTGATTCATAGCCTCCCCGCGACCAACCCGCTCCAACGCTCCATCCGGCAACAACGCAAAACTCCTCTTCAAAAGAATCAAATACTCCACAGAATCATCATCTCGAACAAGCCCCATCTCCTCACCATCTCCCAAATCCTGCACAACCTCCTGGAGCGATCGCAGAAGTGTCCCATAGAGGTTTCGGAGCAATCGAAGGTGATAAGGACACCGCTCAGGGTCACGATTCCCCTCCTCCACCCCAACCTTCCTCTTCCTCATCCTACCATGGACGAAGTCCTCTCACCAAAACCCTAGAAAAACCCCATCACATCACTATGTCCCCTCCTCAACGCCTGCATTGTAAAAATATCCCAAATCTTCACACCACGAAAACCTGAATTGCCATTCCGTCTCTACAAATGCATGAACACCGTCTAATCTCCGTAAGCCCTGGAAATTAAATATTCAAAATCCTCCTTCGCGCTACCCTTGTGATGGATCTTCAATTTGTGTGGAAATCCTGCGACGAAATTCCACTGCGAAATCACTGCATATCAATTGAGAGTGAGATCCTCCGCTGATACTACAAGTCACAAACGAGTTTTCGTCAGGATCGTGTAACTCTCAGTTACACACACACGATCCAAGCTCCTGAGTGTCATGCAGCTGTTATCTGTAGGCGATGCTCTTCCGAGGGCAATCGCGGGTATTACAAATTCAGAGACTGAATTTCAAACCTGTTTTTGTTTGAAATTGGAAATTCGCAGGGCGGAGTTCCCGATGCTGCAGCCCCCGCCATTTTCGTGGTCTTGCTTTTCTCCTTCCTTTGTACTTTACTTTTTTTCTTCTTTATCGTCCTGCTTTTTCCGTGCTTTGAATGATTGCGAGACCTTCATCCACATCCATCTGGCAGTATCCATCTACACTTCAAAGTATTTATCTGTTGTATAATAAGATTTTTTTCCTTCAAAATTAACGAATAAAATTATCCATCAATATTTTAAAATAATAATTAAAATTTAAATTCTAAATTTTATATTTTAAATTTAAGAAAATTTAATATTTACAAAAATCATCAAAATCATTTTATACTTACAATAAATTGTTGGTTCTTATTTAAAATAATCAATAAATAAATATATATCAATATTATTCTCATATTTTTTACATAAATATGCTGGTAAATTAGTGATGTCTTGGGTCTTGAATGAATTCTATAAACTATAGTTTAGGTAATAATTATATAAACAGATTATTAAAAACTAAAATTAAAAAGCTTGAATTAAGATTACATAATTGTGTCAGGTTTCTTAACACACATTATAGAATTATATCATTTTAAAAATCTCTAACTAATACATGATATTTTATAGAATTTTTTGAATAAAGAATAAAAAAATGCACATATTTTGTTTTTAGAAAGGTACAAAACATGTACAAGAACAATATTCAGAAGATAATGCTACAAAATTCTTAAATTAGATTATATGATTGATTTTTTTTTCAATTACTTATTCTAATAATTTCATTATATATATGTATATATATATATAATTTTTTTATTTTTTAAACATTTTTTAGATGGGAGAGGTGAACAAACTATTAGGAGTTCAAAAATAATATGTTTGGAAGTTGAAGATGTCTGCAATTTTGGAAAGAGAGAACATGTGGAATATAGTAAAAGCAAAGAAATTAGTCACATTATTTCTTATGGACATAGTAAGTAGATCTTACATTGACATACAACTAACAAAATCAAAACAAAGAGCATAATTGGAATTCACTATATCAATTACAAATAGCTTGATTACAACAATATTCTAATACAATAATTATGTAGATTCATAGAACATGATTAGATAAATATTTAGTGTACGAAACCAACAATCGATCATATTATTGATAAACAAATTGAATGGAATATCAATGAAAAAAAGAGGTGACAAGAGTATTTATTTCATAGAAGCTATGGATATAAAGAATCAGCTAAAGACTTTCAACAAAATCATCATAGATAAGACATTTATAAACATAGTAATCAACAAGCTGTCACAAAGTTACAAAATAGTAAATTAAGAGATTATGAAAATGATACAATCTATATTTGAAGATATTATGGATAAGCTCTTAAGTGAAACTCATAAAATGACAATAAGAAAATAAAAGTTGGAATAATTTTTTTTTTTGGCAATTCAACTATAATAAGCTTATTTTGGAGGACATGGACAACATCACTTTGTACAAAGAGGCCTTTGAAGAGGAAAAAATTTTGCTCAAAGAATATAAAAATACTTTAGAAAAAAAAGACCTTATATAATCAATTAATTCCAAATCAAGCTAAGAGGACCATCAAGCTATTTGAGAGTAAGAGCACAATCATCCAAAATTATCTATAAAATTATCCATAAAATCTAAAATTATCTTCTATTAATTTAACTTGTGGATTTATTAAGTTATTTAAAATAGAAGGAAAAATCATAGATATTATACTTGGTACAAGTGAGAATAGATTTGTAACTATTTCATATCTTAACGAACTTGTCAATACTTTTAGAATAGAAATTTCACGAATTACCAATGTCAACCACAGAAGTACTATTTATACACCTATAGAAGAAGTCCAGAGTCTATGCCAAAAAGTTATGTACTTGAAGGAAGTATATAGATTAGTCTCACAACCAAATTTAAAAAATCTTGCTCCTATAAGCATGAAGAAAGAAAGGATTAGTATATCCAAGAAGTTTGATGGAATAAGATCAAAATTTCAAGGATTTTTATAATAAATTAAGTTCTATTTAAAATTTCATCTTTTCTAATATCTTGATAGATTTACTATCATGGTTATATATATTTAGTATAATATTTACCTATATGATTAAGTAAAAGTAGATAAAAATAGTTTTATTTTATAATATTTTCTAAAAAAGCTTCCTAGAAGCTTTACAAATATTTCTTTGACTTTTCATATACTTGTAGTTTATTAGTTGATTAGAAACTTAATGAATAAATTAACCATGTATTGATAGTTTATAAAAAAAGTTAACTATATGGCACACATATAGAAGACTTGCCTTATAAGTTAAGATATGTGTCTTACAAAGTCAACATGTTTTGGAGGTCTTATAGGATATTACCAAGTAATTTCTAGTTAAGAATATATATGGAGGCAAGAGTGAAGTCTTCTTCGCTCTTGTCAATACTTTTCTAATCTTCTTGTCTTTAACAATAACTATTCTAGTTTAATATTATATCATCTTTGAGTGACTTTCTAATCTTTTTGAATGATACAAGAATGGGTTGAAGTTTTCTTTCTTCAAGATTCATATCTTTGATAATTTGACAAAAGTACTAACTCATTGTTACTATTTTATTTTAGAAATGAGTGGATTATCTCACTTCTATTTTTGTCTTTGAAGATTTTTGATTATCCACCTTTAAACAAATTTTTTAGTTTTCCAATAGTAATTTTTTTCTTTAAAGAGAGTAGATTATTCTTCTTTGTAGAAATTTTTATTTGATATTAGAAGTTTCAGATTATTATCTTCTAATTTAATTTATTGATTTATTAAGTTGTTTGAAATGGAAGGAAAAATTATGGATGTTACACTTAGTAGAAGTAAAAAATAGATTTACAACTATTACAGATCTTTACAAACTTATCAATAGTCTTAGGATAAAAATTTCACATATCACCAGCACCAACCAAAAAAATACTAATCCTATGTATATAAAAGAGGTTCAGAGTTTGCATTAAGAAGTCATACAATTAAAAGAATCAAGTAGGTTGACTTTATAACTAAATCTAAGAAGTTTTGTTTCTACAAGTACAATGGAGACAAGGATTAGTATGCTCAAGAAGTTTGATGGAATAAGATCAAAATTTTGAGGATTTTTGCAACAAGCCAAGTTCTACTTAAGGTTACATCTCTTCTAATATATTGATGGATTTACTTAAGTTGGGTTCATAAGCACACTTTTATTTGAAAGTACTCTCTCTTAGTATGTACCTTTGATAGAAAAAGATTTAAGACTCTTTTATAATTTGAATTTATTCCTAAAAATATCTACGGCTATATTTGAAGAAAATGATCAAAAAAGAATAATAGAGATTATGATCTTATCTTTACAACAAGGATTATAGTCAATCACTATATATGCTATTGAATTCCAAAACCTTGCTTAGGACATAGACTAGAATGATAAAATCTTCATCAATCAATTTTGATATGAGTTGAAAGTCAACATCAAAGATTTATTATTAACAATGCCAAAAGTATAATCTTTAGAATTATTTATTGCTAAAGTGAATGCATGCAATAATTAATTATTTGAAGGCATTAAAAACAAAGATTTGGCTGAAAAAAATAAGTCAAGTAATAATGGGAGCTCTTAGGTTTTTAAAAACTTATTTATCAAGACCACAATCAATAAAAATTGATATGACACATTTTAAATCTCTTATTAAGTAAGAAAAAAGTCATCCTTGTGAAGAAGATTTATGCCTATATTATAAAGAATCCAAACACATTGCTTAATATTATCCAAAAAATCAACACAATTACAAAATGAGAAGCATGGTTGCGAAAGAAGTTAATGTATCAAAAAACAAAACTTTTCAATTATAATAGAAAATATACAGCTAAAAACTTATGCAACACCTAGTAAAGGTCCTATTCTCTCCTTAAATACCTCACCTTGTATAAAAATAAATTTCATCTTTCAACCCAAATAACAAGATGGCTTCAATTAATAATTTTTTGTAATTGGTAATATAGAGTAAAAGTAGCAAAAATAAGAACAAAAGAAGTACAATACACAATAAGTGGAACAAGTCTAATCAAGCAATTATACATTATAAAACTAATCACATTCTATTTACTAGATTTTTACTTAATAAAAAATAAAAATAAAAAGTAAATAATATATTTTTAGATAGATAATCTTTTTATCTTTCTAATGATACAAAAAATATGTAAATCCAAATTAATAGAAATAAATTATGATAGGTTAAAGATAAAAAGTAAATAATAAAAAAGTTTGATGAATAATTTTTATCTCAAGGAAAACTTGCTTAAGAGATTAAGAGTTTGAGCCTCATTAAGGCTCACAAGTAGTATATATAAATCTCTAGAAGGGGCCACGAGGCCTTAGTCTTATCTTCCTAACTACCTTCAAGGTGTCCCAATCCATATAAGACTTGAGTACTTCTTTTCTTACAAAAACTACTGTAATGGGGCATGGATAAGATATTTATATTATTAACACGTAAAAATAGGTAATTAGGCCATTTTTACAAATTTCGTAGAAGTTTTTAGAATTAGGGCTATATTGGTGGTTTATGTGGGATCCACCATAGAACATTCTAAAAGAACTAAAGGTGGTTATCTAAATGGGACTCACTTTTAGAACCTTTTAGAAAGGTGATGTGAGCTAAAATAAACCTCCACTAATTGGAAGTTTATTCTAACTCACAATAAGTGAATTAACTATGTGAATTTAAAATAAAGCTTTTATTTAAATTCTAATCCACTTATTACTTGTTCTTCTTAAAATAACAAGTTATTAATCAAATCTTCTAATATTACTCACATTCATAATGATAATTCACTCCTTAATTTCATGCAAAATAATTCTTTCTTCTACTTCTAATTAAATAATTTGGTTTAATTTTTTATTTTATGTTATTTTATTTTTATTATTATCTTTTTTTATTAGGTTATTTTTATTATGTGTT